GGTCTTCCTTATTGGTTTTTTTTTCTGTTGGTGTTTTGGAGTCATAGTTATTTTTATGCCTATGTATAATATCCTTCAGTATTTTTTTCAAGGTTGGGTTGGTAGCATTTTTCACTATTCCCTTACACCCTGATTGCCAAGATTTCTTTGCCTTTACATGGACAGATCCAAACACTCTCCTATCTATGCAGCTGACCCAGACAACCCTACCTCAAGGCTCAGGGATAGCCAAGCCCTTGATGCTGACCTCTCAATCTTAAACCTAACACTTCTTCAATACACAGATGATCTTTTCCTCTGTTCTCCATCCTATGCTCTAACTATACAGCATAGGGCTACCTGTCTCAACTTGCTCTCAAGTCACAAACACAGGGTGTCCCCTACTAAAGCCCAGATAACTACACCAAAGGTTAAATATCTGAGTCTCACTCTCACCCCCACCTCTCGCTCTATATATAGCCTCAGCCACAAAGCTCTTCTTCATAATCCCCAGGTGCCAACTACAAAACAACAAATTTTATCTTTTTTAAGTTTAACAAACTTCTTTTCTCTGGATTCCCAACTGTGCCACCTTAGTCCAGCCTCTCTACAAGGTGTCCAAATGTTCCCTATCAGAGCCTCCCAATGTAGCTACTCCTCTGCACTCTTCATTCTCTAGACTAAAGTAGCCCTTTAAAGGCCCCAGCCACACTCTCCCTAACCAATCCAAACCCTTCGTTCTATATACTACCTCTCAGGATAATAATGCACATTTTAAGACACCAAAAGAGACTTTCTTTCCAAACAGTAGCCTAGCTCTCAAAACAACTGGCCAACACAATTCAGAGCTCACCTCCCTGCCTTTGAGCCCTTGCCCTAGCAGCCACACTAACATAGGAGGCCAAAAAGTTCACTTAAAACAACTGACTGTAGTCCACTCAGCCCATTGCCTCAACGACCTTATTTCACACAGGACACTTCCTACCTTTATGACATCTTTTTCCCTACAGCAATTTCACTTACTACTCATACAAGACGCTATAATCACCATCTCCACCAGCAGCTCCCTCAACCCAGCTGCCTTATTTTTCCCTCTGACAAGACCCCTGTCCACAGTTATATTGAGGTCCTATAGGTGGCTCCTACTCTCCTCCCTCACATTAGCAGTATTCCCCTCCCTATAGCTTCTGATATGCAGTTCACAAATGACCACACATCAAATACAAACACTCAAAAGAGGGCAACATATGCTGTAGTTAGTGCTAAGGTAACAGAGGCAAGCCCACTGCCACCCAAAAGATCTCCAGTACAAATACACATCTAAAACCCTTTACTCTTATACGTGGCAAAGAAGAGGTAATTAACACTCAGAGGATCCCCATCACTGATGCACCTCTCATTCTTCCAGCTTCCACAACACATAACAGTCATGCACTATAAGGAACACCAAATGGTATCAGGCTGTCTCAGTGTCATGCCTTTGTGGACCACACAGGCCACATTAGCTAACAGCAGCCATGTCTTCTCATGTCCTCCTCCTTAGCCCAGACACTTTGCTGTCACCTCAGTATTCACCTACACAACTACGATTAGTTCACAAACCCACTTAAAGCCCCAACACTGAGAGATAAATTTTCCAAAAATCAAAGCGCCTCCTCCCAGATCACCAAGCCTTAGACATCATCACTGATGTGCGTAACTGCTCTCACAGACATAAAAGCCTTCTATAAACTTCGGACTCCAGTCAATACTCATCCCTCTCTAGAAAATATTATTTGTCAGGTCACTCAGAACTGTGATCTTTGTACCTAAACCTCTCCTCAGGGACACTCACTGCTTCTTTCCCAACCCACCAACATTGTGGACACACTCCAGGTAAAAACTAAGATTTTACACACACACCTCATCCTAAGACCTAGCCCACCTCTGCCACCATTCATAGCCCCAGTGGTCTGTAATTCTCCTTGCTTCCTTGTCATTTCTTACTGCTGGTTCTCATCCACTATCCCTTCCGACATTCTCTCCCTACAACACCAAGACTCTCCTCTTCCTCACTACAATTTTAGGCTCAAACACCTAACACTGCCTACAATAAAATAAACCCTCAATCTTACTCTCTCTTCCATGATTCCTGCTCATTCTCCTTCTATGACACAACTAAACTGACAACTTTCAACCTCACTATTCCTCTCTCCCACATATACCCCACGCTAAAACCCCAAGTGCAGTCTGAAATTCTCCAATACTACAATATGCAATAAATAACCCCAAACTAACCCAAAACTAAGCTTCTCCCTACCCTTTCTAAGAGCTCTCACAATGCCCTGGCCTTCACCTTCACCATCTCCAAAACCAATAACAAAACCCTTGAGACTACATGGCCATCAACACATCCATCACTCTTTGTTTCCCATACTGTCAGGTTTACCCCCCCACACAAACATGAGACATAACTATAACAACTAACAAAAGACATCACTTTACACACAATCATCAAAAACACCTCCTTCCACCGATACCCTTAGCCAAAACAAGGAGATACACCCTTTATGATGGGTGGGTCCCTCCTCAGGACGAAAGAGTCCTCCTGTTTTGCTCAGTACCTATTAGGGCCACACTCCTCAGTACTCTTGCTGGTATTATCTCTCCCCCACATGCCTAGACTCCCCACACCACAGCTCTCTATTTCTTCTCTCCTTAATCACCATCCAAGACTCTCTCCAGCCACATGAACATCACAGACAAGGTTTTTCCATCTGGTCTTCTCTGAGGGGCGAGGCCCCTGTCTCCTCTGCTGGACGGGACCTCTTGTACTATATTTTTCTTATAGCTTCTTTCTTCTGAAACGTTTTTTCCAAGCTTTCTTCTATCCAGGATATAGACCTTCACTACCAGAGAGCTCCCTGTCCTGGCTGAGCCTCCTGGCACCAGCTTCTACATGGGCCTAACCCATCATCCTGACGACTGCAGTAGCCCCACCATGACCCCCTCACCAGCAGAAAGCTGTACCCAGAAATCACAAAGGTGGGGATGATAGATTGTGCCAGCCTGGGGCTCAGCTATCTCTAACATGACATCTGCCCAACTTGGCACCAGCCGAGAAACAATTTATCTCTCCATAGTAACTTCTGTAACTTTCTGCTTCCAGAAAGAAGCCTCTCGCTCCTTTTTCCCACGTGCACTGAGCCCTCTCCAATCCCAGTACTCCACAATCACACAAGTGCTCCCCTCCCAGCCCAACTCCACAAAAACCAATCCCCAGAGTCCCTTTTTGAGGGATCTTGCACTCTTCTGCAACCCTCCTGTGTCCGCAATAAAGGCCTCTTTATCTCTCTATCTCTATCAATCTATCTCTTAATTGTGCTGAAAAAAACCTAATGGTAACCATTGCTGATTTCCTATTATCTTGTTTTGAGGTTCTGTATCCTTTCACTGTTTTGTTTTCATTGACTTTATTCTGTTTTATTTTGTTTCATTTTATTCTTTTTAAAATAAAATAAAATAAAGAAAATAATCACTTGAGGGGCTGAGGATTTAACTCGGTGGCATAAGAGCTTGCTTGGCAAGCGCAAGGTCATGAGCTCAATCAAAAATCACTTGAAAAATTACTTACTAAAATAATCATACATCCCTTGTGAACCTATGTAGCAGGGCTGGTTCCATTATTTGCAGGTCCCTGCCAAATAAAAGCACAGAATCTATACAAAAAGCAAGAAAAAGTATGAGAAAGGTACTAAAACAAAGTTTTTTCTCTCTTTTGCAGTCTTTCTGATACCTTGTCATAGTACTACCTATTTCTTGTCTGTTGTTTCTCTGAGTAAAATAGATTTTTAATTATCGGGGGTGGGGATTTAACTCAGTGGTTTAAGTGCCTGCCTTGCAAGTGGGCGGTCATGAGTTCAATCCCTGGTACCGATAAAAAAATAAAACATTTTAAAAATTTTTTTTTAATTATCATGAAAAACTAAAATCATTGTGTGGTTCTTCCTTATCTGAACCTTACATTTCTTTGGCCGTATGTGTGTGACTCTTTGCTGTCATAGCCCACCTGTCCAGACTCTTCCTGGCCTTGCTCTGTTCTGCTCCAAGGCATGGAGTAGAACTCTATGGAACCAAGAAGGTCTTATAACTTGCCCTCAGACAAAGTAGGTCAGAAAATTTTCTTATGGCAAACTTTAAGAAAGATAGGGGTTTCTATACCTCCTTTGGGGAAAAGAAACTCTAGTTTCTGTGGCTTGCCTTGGGGAAGTAAATATACTTCATATATACACAAAATATGTATTTATCTATATCAGTCTATCTCCCAGCATGTTTAGGAAAAGCTGGCTTAGAAAAGGGCTTCAGATATCCTAATACAAGGTGCTGGAACTGACTTGCAAGAGAAGACTAGGTTTATGCCATGCATGGTGGTACACACCCATCATCCTAGCACTAGGCATGCTGAAACCAGAAGATCACTATAAATGCAAGGCTAGCTTGGGCTCTATAGGGAGTTCAAGACCAGTTGGAACTGCGTAGGAAAATCCTGTCTCAAAAAAATGCAGGTTAGGGACTAGGTTTCTGTGTTTGGCAGTAATGTCTGAGAAGAAATAATCAAGGGGGCACTAGAAAAATGTTAATGTGTAGATTCCTCAGAAGATACTTCTCCTGTTGCCTCAAGAAAGCTTGAACACTTAGGGATTTCTCATTCATTGTATTTCTTATTTGTTTGTTTGTTTGTTTGTTTTGAGACAGGGTCTTGCTATATAGTCCAAGCTGCCCTTGAACTCACTACATAGTTTAGGTTGGCCTCAAATTTGTGCTGATCCTTCTGCCTCAGCTTCCTGAGTGCTGGGATTACAGGCATGTACCAGCATGTCAGGCCCCATTTATTGTATTTCTTGATTCTTTGAATAAAGAGAGAAAATTTCATTTTAAACTGATGTCCTCAGTGAGAAAGTGTGAGGACTTTGTTTTCATTAGCAACCAGCAGCCAGGCTGATCCACAGAGAGGGCATCATTCTCATTGTTTCTGTTTTCAGAAAATGAGAGACTTCTGCAAGCCAACAACAGAGAGCTCACCAGTTCTTTTGGATATCCAGTGAGTATCCCGCCTCTGGCTATCTCAAAGGGGCTAGAGTTTCCCTACGATATTATTCCCCTGTGTTGGGAAAGCAGAGAGTTCACTATAGATGTAGATGTGACCTCTTTCTGAACTCCTAGATAATAAACTGTGGAACAGGGCTCATACCAAGATAACCCAATGCCCTAAGCTCAGGGGGAAAGCATGTCTCAGACTTTAGATTTATATAGAACTCTTAGAAAAGAAACGTTGTTCCTTTTTCTTGCACAAATGAAAGCATGGCTCCACAATAATCTTTTATAGTTAAACATCTATTATAATATATATAGATCTTGTTTATTTCGCAGTGGCATTGTTTCTCTTTATTTTGATGAACCTTACATTATTTAAACCAAATGAACATTTAAAATGTCTAGAATTTTTTCTATGATAAATGGTCCTGAACATGATTATATCTATAGTTTGGCACAGGAGAGCTTCCTAGAAGCTAGTTGGCCAGCCTAAAAGTAAAACACATTAAAAATTACAATGCATATTATCAGATTGTCCACTGCTGCTTAAAAATTATATTCTTAAAAATTTTACCTGTGTCTGTTGTAGGAACTGCCCATTTATCCACATTTCTGTCAGACTATCATCTCAGTGTTAGTCTTTAGATGAAAAATAGTATTTTATTACCTGTTCTTCCTTAATTTTAAGTGAGATTGATAATCTACTCATATTAACTAGCCTTTTGCATTTCTTTTTCTGAAAACTACCTGTTTGTGGTCTTTGTCCATTTCCTATTGGGTTGTATTTCCCTTTTTGTGAATGAATAATCCATTAAATCCCAATGAATGGGAAATGTGTATTGGAAAGTCGTGATTCAGCACTCCCACCTTGTCCACATCTGCTCCCGTAAGGGAACCACTTATATTAGTTTCTTATGTATTCTTTAGTGCTTCTGTGTGCAAATAAAACAAATAAAAAGATATATTCCCATTTCCATGTTTTACACTATTCTAAACTTTCACAATATATCTTAAATATGTTTTCATAATCAATTTTTTTCTTTTTTAGCTGAGTTGTATTTGTTCTATAGATTTAGCATGGTCGTGTAAACAATTCCTTATAAATAGTCGTTTACTTGATTTCAGTCTTTTGCAATGATAAGTGTTGCTTTTATGTACATAAGTTATTTTATGTTACCTATATACAAATGTGTATGGAGAGGACTTCTGGAAGAACATGGCAGATAGATAGCAGCAGCTATGGAGGCTCTCTGAGATACCCCGCTTAGAATCCAGGAATGCTGCGGTACGAGGAGTCCTAAGCAAGGGGCAATACACCCTGCTGACCCAGGAATGAACTAAGCTAAGAGAAACCAACTGGAAATCCAATCCTGGTGCTATAACAGGAACAGATAAAATCTCAGCGTGGAAGCTAGAACCTGCCCCACTGGAAGCCACGATCTGAATTTCCTGCTGCCGCTGCTGCGTCCAAATCTGAAGGGCAGGGAGAGAGATGCGTGAAAGCTCTGAGAGCGGGAATCTGCGAATGGAGTTGAGAACAGGACTAGCAGGGAGCCCTACATCGACTTGCAGTGAGTCAGGGGAACGGGGATCCTTTCACAGAGTAGGAGGCTCCAGCAAAGGACATACTGGGACCGGGCAGACTTGCTAGAACGGGGCGCTGCAGTGACTTCAGTCACATATTCCCCTCTCAAGCGGGATTGGTGGGGAGAGCCTGGCCTGTGTGACGCCACTGACTTAGAGCCAGTAGGTGAGTCCAACACAGGTCCCAGCGCCTGGAGGTGCACCCTAACAGTGAAGCCTTTGGTAGGTTGACCTGGAGGGGCGGGCCCAGCAGAGGCTGCTCAGGTCTGTGTCTCCCTATTACACTGCAGTGGGCAGGAACACCTAGCCAGCACAATTCAAACAAACTATAACCGAAGAAAGAGAAAAAAATTGGGCCTCCTACATTCACTTGTATGGAAGGAACAAAAAGTATGGGAAGAGGAAGGAACAAGAAAGGGTCCTCACTCCCCAATCCTGAGAACACTGATCCAGGAAAGGGAAATGCAAAGGAAGACAGAAAACATGCAATATCAGACACGGCACCAATAGACATAAAGCGATATCTCCAGAGCCTCATAGATGAGTTTAAAAATGAAGTATTTAATGAAATAAAGCAAGAGATAAGTAGAATAGTTAGAGAAATGCTAAGCACCGCCCAAGAAAAAACAGATGGTGGAATGGAAGAACAAAAAAAAAGGGGAGAATTATTTGATGGAGAAAATAGAGAAAACATAGAATACATGAAGCAAGTTCAAAGAGATTACCAGGAAACTAAAAACTCTATCGAAAGCTGGCATAACAGCTTGAAAGAAACTAAGGATAAATTATCTGAATTGGAGGGCAGACTTGTAATATGGGAGCATGAAATGAAAAACTTCTTAAAAATAACAAGCAATAATACAAAGACTAGAAGATGGTAAGAGGATCTACATAAGAACATAAAAGAACATAAAAGAAGTAGGGACACAAACAAATGGACTACAAAAGCTATTCACAGAAATAATCCAAGAGACTTTCCCTAATTTAGCAAAAGGTAAAGATACTCAGGTGCTCATGAGGCATACAGGACCCCAGCCACCTACAACCCAAACAGAGCTACACCCAGGCATATAATAATCAAAATTCCAGAAATCCAATATAAGAACAGAATACTAAAAGCCATCAGAGACAAGAAACAGATCACTTACAAGGGAACACCCATCAGAATTACAGCAGACTTCTCAGCACAAACCATCAAATCACGAAGAGTATGGGGGGAAATAATTCAAGCTTTGAAAGATAACAACCTCCAGCCAAGATTGATGTATCCCACACAACTGTCCCTAGAAATTGATGGAAAAACAAGGTGCTTCCAGGATAAAGAGGAACTAGGGGAATTTGCAACCACCAATTCAACTCTACAGAGAATACTGAAGGATATTCTAAAAAAGGAAAATACCAAGACTTCAGAAACAGTGGCAGAGCGGCCACAATGAATGGAGCAGAAAGCGAAATGAAGAAGACAAACTGACAACAAACAACAGAAAAAGAGCTCAACAGAAATGAGGCAGAGAAGATTGGATGGTAGGAATAGCTATTTTGGAGAAAACAAGACATCATAATAGGTAGTGCTGATTTAGTATCATCTTGCTTTGAAGTCCCATCAAGCTTTTATTCTTCCGTCTCCATCGGTCTTGACAGGTTGTATCTTATTGGATTTTATTATATGTGATAATATAAGTAAAAACTTTTATAGACAGGGAGATTATACAGAAACGGTTGTTCATTTTCTGATAGTTGGTCCTAAATACCCTGTAATACTGTCATTCTCTTGAATGGTTTTACATTGTCTTGATATGTTTGGTGCTACAATATATGAAGTTATACTCAAAGACTTCAAGAAAAGAGACACTATGGTAACTACTTTTATGTCGGGATGTCTTGTGGTGAAACGCTATTTTGCTTAAATGGTTATACTTTGACCTGCACTGTTTTGTTATGCCCTCTTTTATCTCAATCTCCTTTTTTTAATTACTTACTTTTTAATTAAGGGAAAAATAAAAAAGCAGAATATATTATTATAGTAACCCACTTTGATTTCCTATTAACTTGATCTGAAACCCTGTGTAGCTCTCACCATCTTGCTTTGACTGATTTTCCTCTATTCTGCTTTGCTTGATAGTACCAAGTTTGAAAGTATAGGTAAAAACTGTAAAGACAATAAGATTCATTATGACGCCCATTCTGGTTGACTATTATCTTCTTTTAAAGCCCTGTAATGTCTCCAATGTTTTGGTTTTATTCTTTACTGTTTTGTTCAATTTTATTATAACTGATGATATAAGCAATTCTTTTTAAGATAGCAAGAAGCAGTATGGTAACCATTGTTGATCACCTAGTATTTTGTTTTTACATTATCTATTATGTTCATCCTTTTGATTTGACTGACTCTCCTCTGTTATGTCACATTTGGTTTTACTCTCTTCAAAAAAAAGTAATAAGAACTGTGGGAGTAATAAAACCCAAAATGTGTAATTGTCATTGTACAAAAGAAAGGAAAAGAAAGCGCTCTAAAGAATATAACCGCATATATATTTAAGTGTATAAGATAAATAACCATATTACTGAGTTTTGTTGGATCATTGAACAAAACTGTTTCCAGTCTCACTGTTTGAAAGTCCACTTTATATGCTTTAATTTTGTAACTCGAACAACTATTTCTAAGATAACAATATGTAATCTATTAACTAGTGATTTCCTATTGTTTATTTTTTCTGAAATTCTGTATAACTTGTACCCTATTTCTGCTTTTTTTTCTTTTTCTCCTTAATAAAAAAATGTGTATGGATATAAAACTATAAGCTCAGATATGTTGTGGTCTCTGTGGGATATTAGTTTATGATTCCTGAGCTGGCATGGTTTGGGCTAATGACACTGTTCAAGCTATGGCAAGCTGGGGTTTTTTTTTTCCCTTCTTCTAGACCTGTAGAAGAAGCAGCAAGGCACATTAAATAGGTTTTAGCATCAGGCAGACCTGAGTTTGAATTTAGCCTTGTTCCTTACTAACTCTGAAGTATTACGTAAGTAGTTTAGCATTTCTAATCTTCAATTCTTTCATTCATAAGAAGAGGATAATAAGATTCACCTTACATGGTGGTCATGGGAATTAAACATAGTTGTGAAATGTCAGTACTGTTTCTCCAAGAAACTGTTGCCCTCTCAGAAAAGAGCATTTGTTTTGTTTTTGTGTGTTTGTTTGTTTTGCCTTTTTGGGGCAGGTTTCACTATGCACTTCAGGCTGGTTTTGAATTTACTTTGTAGCCCAGCTTGGCCTCAAACATACAGAAGTCCTCCTGTCTCAGCCTAACAGCATCTGTCTTGTCCACCTCTGTATTCACAGTATTGGCTGCACTTGACATTCAATAAATGTATACAGAATATTGAATGAACCAACAGATAGACCCAATTTTGAGCTGTCTTTTGTTTCTGTAATTTTTCTTGTTTTTTGTTATATTGTTACTGTTTTTTTTTTTTTTACTTGTAGGACAATGCCATCAAGACCTCAAAATATAATGCCTTAAACTTCCTGCCCATGAACCTATTTGAACAGTTCCGGAAACTTGCAAATGCCTATTTCCTAGTTTTGGTATTCCTACAGGTATTGATTCTTGAGTCCTTTTCCACATGTGGCTTATCAGTTTCTCTAGGGTCAAGCTAAACTGAGAGATACTGTCTTTTCTTTAGACACAGACAAATGGGTCGGTGGAGTTTTGGGCCAGTGTCCTAGTGAAGTCAGGATTAGGCAGTGCAAAGCAAACCTGTATAGAAGGGAGGAGACATGAGGTCATGGAACCCTGAAGGAACCTTCCTCATTATGGATGCATGGTCACAGTTAACCTCACCACAGACTCTACTCCAACCCTAACTGCAAAGCTATTCTTCTTTCTTATTCCAGATGCCACTGCAGAAAGCTGACATACAGAGAGGAATGATGGTTTAGAATATGAGCACTAGCACAAAGAAAAGCCTCAGCATAGGGCTGGCACACACTGGGAGAAGGGGGCAGACAGATCATCCCCCCTCCTCTGGCACTGAAGGAACACTGGAGAGGTTTTGGTTTTCCTACATCCACTCATAACACCCTATACCTGGCACCTTTCATCATCAGGAAACAGATGTCTCTTTTCCATCAGGACAAAGGTAGTGGGATTCAGAACAGACAGGTGGCAATGTATAGACTTTTCTTCTTTACTTACATTTTGAGGACTACAGGGTTAAAGGCTATATATCAGTAGAAAGCAACTCGGATTGTTGGATTTATTATGATACTAGCAAAGTGCAAACAGTGGTGGGGCAGGGAGATGAGAAAAATATATAGTCCTTTCTATTTTCTGACCCCAGGTTTCCTTTCTTTGCCTCTTACAGATGATTCCCCAGATTTCCTCTTTGGCAAGTTACACAACTGTGATACCCCTGATGGTGGTGCTGTCCATAACAGCTGTGAAAGATGCCATCGATGACTTGGTAGGGTTTCTTCCTTCTGTCCCTCGATGACCTAGTCAGGCTGTGGGCAAGAAGACTGCCCAGATGAACCTTGTCCTAAGAAGCACTGAGTGAAGAGAGATGCTTCCCTTCCTTGTTTCCTCATCCATCCCAGAGGGATATGCACTAATTCCCATAGGCCCAAGACTGGTGGGCTACCGCAGCCAGGAAGGCATAGGGTAGGGCTTGAAGCCACCACCTTTTTAGCCCTTTCCAGCTCTCCTTCCCTTTCCTCTTTGATAACCCACTTTCCTTTAGCTGTCTCAAGTTTCACTGTCCTCCTCCTCCTTCTGTTCCTTCTTCTCTCATTTTATATCCCTTCTCCTTTCCTGTCCCCCGCTCCGTTTCTCCTATTCTTCCTCTTTTTTCTCCTTTCTGTCTCCACATTTCCCTTCTCTCCAGTTCTCCCTATTTCCCTTTCCAACTTTCAGTTCTATTCAGCATGCACATCTAGGAGCCCTCTGGTTTTAGGAAGCCTCATGTCATAGACAAGGTCACTCCTTTCTCAGCCATGGAAAGAGAAACTGGTTCACGGTGAATGCTGCAAGAGGGAAGACCAGCCCTACAACTGCTGGTGGGATTTGGGAAGCCAGTCCATGCAGTTTCCCCTAGAGAGCGCTTTGGATTTTGCCAATAGAGTTTAGACCAAAGTTTGAGAACGCCTTAACTTTGTGAAGTCTAGGATTAGTACATGTGGACGTGTACTTTTCAATCACAGGCTAGATGTGCAAAAGTGTAGCTTTATTTCTCTGCAACTGAGCTCATTTTAGCTCACAGCATGCACATAACCTACCCCTAATCTTTTCAGTGACAATGAGAAATTCAGCTTCCCACTCAGGGTGACCCAGTTGCTTCCAGTTTGGAGTTCTGTCTCTTTAGCATAAATGTGTTGAGGCAATTCTGAAAAATTTTAACACATCCGGGACCCTCTCTGACCCCATCCTCATCATTCCCTTCTCCCAGGGAAGGAGGCAGTTCCTGCGGGTAGAGTGCTAGGGCAGGTCATGAATTTGTGCTCCTGATATTTGGCCTTTGAATATTTGCCCCTTTCCTCCCTGCATCCATCTTTTGTAGATGCTTCCACCGTTGGGATAGGGGCGCGAGCGTGTCTAAGAATGCTAGGCTCTCCCCTCCTGCCACAGACTCTGGGACACTAGTCTTGCCCATCACTGGCTACTCTGTCCTCTGAATCTGTGGTGTATTTTTTGTTCTCATTCTCCCAGGCTTTGGTTTCTAATATCTCACAAGACTTTGTTTCTTTCTTCTCCCTGGGTTCTTTTTCTGATCTTCTTAACCAGCCCCCAGGAGATAACATCCCCTTGGTCTGGTTTTAACAGTAGAAGGCCCATGAGGCAGGGGAAAGAATTAAAGACAGGATTTACATTGGGCGGTGTTCCAAAATGTTAAAATTCTACGCACAGTTTGCTTGTGTCATATTTCTTGAACATTTTCTTGTGTGATTTTAGAAAAGGCACCAAAGTGACCATCAAGTTAACAACCGTTCTGTTCTGCTGCTGGTGGATGGCAGGTAAGCTCGTTCTGAGGAGCCAGTTTAGGCAGTCCACTCATGGGAGAGAGACAGCCTCGTGTGCCGGAGCATTTGGAAAGGCAATTCAGAAGAGTGAAAAGGACCTTAGACTGAACATTAGAAGAATTTGAGGTGTCATCTAGCATGCCCTGAAATTTAAATGTTACTTCAGATGTCTATAAAGTGGAAATTATATTCTCTATCTCAGAAGATGCCTGTGAAAATAAAAATGAAATAATATATAAAAGCAATTAATGTATGATAGCATTATATTAATATGTACATGGATATTTTCAGGTTAGTACTGCAACATTTGTCTTTAAAACAATGGTTCACTGGCCATTCTACTACAGCTTTAGTTGTCTTTCTTGTTGCAATCCAAGATGGTCTCATGTTGACTCCACTGCTTGGTCACAGCCATGTAGGGTGCTGGCAAGACCCTAAGGGGGCAGGCACATTCCTATACAGAGCACAATAGGAAGACTACCAGAGGAGGCACAGTAGGTTATTACAGCAGTTATAGCCAGCAAGAGGAAAGCAAGACTTTGTAGGAGAGGTGATATCTGTACAAGCAGTAAGGGGTAGGACGAATCCAACACATCGGCATTGTGTGAAGGGAGAGTGACCTATGTGAGCAGAGCCATGCTTCTAAGAAAGTGCAAACTTGAAGAAACTTGGGGTTGAGGTGCAGGCTTTCTCAGGTGGCCTTATAGGACACCGAGGTGCTATGATTTTTTATCAGATTATCTGAAGTTCTTAAACATATAGTCCTTGCATTTGTTGTGTCTGATTGTTACTCTTAGTAAAGTTTTTTCCATAAAGGTTTGAACTTTTAAAACTTTTCATAGGACACCTAAAAGGTCAGTTATGGTTAGGAAGAAAAGAAGAGAAATAGAAATTAAAAGACAAAGCCAAGTATTTTCGAAACTGGGCAAGCTAGGGAGTCAATGACCAAATAAATCTAGACAAATGAACTCCCCAAGTGTTGAGCAGTTGGATTGAATGCATTATTGGAGAAGAATTTGTCACAGAGTAATTTTAGGAGGAAGTTAATTAGCGTGGCCCTGGTCAGACATTGCAAGCAGTGTCTGATTAATTTAATATGCAAAGGTGAGTTGTATGGTTAGAATGGTTTCCTTTCTAAAAGGCAGCTTTTTTTTTTTCTAGAATCCACTGAGAAATGCTGCTATTTTAAAATTTTCTCTGTTTAGCAAGTTGCAGTTTTTGTCATTTTTTATTTGTGAGTAATTCTGTTTCCTTGCATCTGTTTAAAAGAGCTTTTTCTTAGGAATTCTAAGTAGCCTGAGCTGAAGTAGCATTCCTCTAGAGAGGTTTATCTCTGCCTCTGTCAAGTAATTTAGGGCTTCACCTGCCAACAGTTAATCTGAAGGAAGTTTTTCATTGTTGTTGTTTTGTCTGGTATTTTTGAGACAGAATTTTGCAGTGCAGTTCAGGCTGGTCTTGATCTCACCATGTAGTCCAGTCTGGCCTTGAACTCACAGCAATCCTCCTGAGTGCTGGGACTACAGGTTTGCGTCACCACACCCAGCTGGAGGAAGTTTAAATGTGAACCCTATACCATCCGAAGTTTCAGATTCTCACAGGAAAGTCCTCCTTTCATTGACTCTCCACCCACCCACCCACCCACCCATCCAACCTGTATGATTTTAAACAGACTATCTTACCAGTGAGTTGATTTATATTTTAGACTATAGGCATTGTACTTCAGTGCTTTATGCGGGGTTATTAGTTCCAACCCATTACCTCTTAAGATCATAATCTTTCATCTCTTATCTCTCTGGAGGGAAAAATTCAAATTCAAATTACTAGACTGTTAAAACTGGCAATCCCCTTGCCCACCCTAGGCAAGATCCTTAGACTATACTTACTGTTATAGATTTCATTCTCCTCTTTTTTCCGGGCTTCTTACTTATGCCAAGTATAGCCATGCTTTTGAAAAAGGTACTGTCTTTATTTTATTTTGTATTTCTAAGTATTTGTAACATGACCTCCAGGAGGTACAGAACGCTAGGAGATATCTTCATACAAAACAGAATATAATGTGAATGGTCTCCCTTCAAGTCAAAGTATTGTCTTCTCTCACTCTCTGGTATACTTTTGAACAATAAGCTGGAGCACAAAGCCTGGAAGTTTAAAGCGTACTTGTGGCACAACAGGATTCCATATTTTAAATCAGTAAGGAGTGCCTGCCCCTTTCCAAAGTCTGGGACCTGTGGTTGTTAAAATAGTCTAGGAATAAATTGTAGTCTGGCAACTTCTTATATAATAAAATATAAGCATTTATATCTCCAGAAGAAAACAGAATGTTATATAGCATTGCTTTCTCTTCATGTATCACTGTGAAAATAATGGTAGACTGAATGCCAGAGAACTCACAGAAGTAAATGTCAGATCAAAATAAAAATTCAGGGGCTGGGGATTTAGTTCAGTGGCATAAGCGCCTGCCTTGCAAGTGTGTGGTTGTGAGTTCGATCCCTGGTACCAATAAAAAAAGAAAAAGACAAAAAAAGAAAATTCAGAGGTCTTTCTGCAAGGCTTGTAGCTACTAATCTGCAGTACTATCAGAAAATTCTCTAAAAGAGTCAGTATACATTAAAGGAATTTTTATATAAAAGAAATTTGGCCCTTGTCAAGGAAAAGGTGTTCTGTTCCTCTGTGGGTCTGGCAAAGTGGTGGTGTGTCATGGTCCATAGGGGACAAAGCTGCATTCAAAGATGAAAGGAGAATGGTTTTAAATGTGCCCTCTGCTTCCCAGCTCTGTGAGTCCTTAGCATCGTAGCATTGTCCAAGGAGGTGATGTTTCTAAAAAGGTACTGCAGTGTGTCCATCCTCCTAGGCCTTTATCAGGGAGAAGGACTTACGAGTCCTGTGCAGTTGGAGAAATGGAGTACAGAGCAAGCAGGGAAGAGTCAGTGTTACTGGGGAATCTGCTCCCACTTCCAGGCTGCCATTTATGGGGCATGGCATTTCAAGGGTCAAAGGTTGTCCAGTTTCCACATAAGTAAATAAATTTGGTACAGCTATATGACAGAGTACATCTCACTATTAAAAAGAATGAGTGGGACTGGGAGTTTAGCTCAGCGGTACAAGTGCCAGCCAGGCAAGTGCCAGGTCATGAATTCAATCCCCAGTATCAAAAAAAGAATGAGTCAGGGCCAAGGATTTAGCTCAGCGGCTTAAGAGCCTTCCAGGCAAGTGCAAGTCATGAGTTCAATCCCTGGTACCAAAGGAAAAAAAAAAAAGAATGAATCACAACTTCTATATATGTTCTCCAGGATTTTATGAATTGACATTTTCTAGAAAGAAATACAAGGAAATGTAGGAGCAGGAGTAAGGCTGGGGAGAGAGGAGACTTTAATTTTTTCATTTACATATTTCTTTACTATTTGAATTATTTCACTTTTAAAGTTCTTTTGTGCATGCATATCTTTTTCTGTAGGGTTCTAGGAAACCTTTGTATCCTGAAGACAAGGAAATGGGCCCTGTTCTTGACTGTAGTAAGGAAGCATCACAAACCAATTGGTCCTCCTGGACTTTGACTATATTCATCTCAGTCTGTTTTGTTTTGTTTTGTTTGGTTTGGTTTTTTTTGTTTATTGATTATCAAAACAGAGCATTGGGAAAATTCTCAGAGCAGACATTCAAAGATCATTTTCTTGCAGGATGGAGGAGGACAAATGGATGAATGTCCAAGTGGGAGATATAATTAAACTAAAAAATAACGAGTGTGTTACAGTGAGTACCTCTCCTGGCTATGGCTTTTTGATTTGTGGCTTGAGTGGGAACTAGGAATCCTTAGGGCACTTCTGCTACTACTGCTTGTGGTGACATTCATCTGCCTCCCTTTTGCACTGGAGATCAACAGCTCCTAAGATAAGACCCTTGCCCTTGTCCATCTCTCAACGTAGCTACAGGTAAAGTGTGAACACCTTTGGAAGGGGTGTGTGGTAGCAGTGATGGGTCCCAGAAAAAGAAAGTAAAACCAACTCTGTAAAGTTCTTTGTGTGAATACCTATTCCTAAGAGACTACTTTGGTTATACTGTAACGTCAAGGGCTTGTTTTTCTCATCTTTTCTGGCTTTTCTTATCTCAGGCAGATATACTATTGCTCTCAAGCAGTGAGTCACACGGTCTGGCATACGTAGAAACAGCAGAACTGGATGGGTAAGTGTTCTCTCCTGATGCTTCATCAAGACCATTTTATCCAGCTTGGAGTGACATCTCACTGAGAGCATGAAATAGAATTAACTTTATTCTCAAATGGATATGATAGTATATGAGCCAGAGAATCTAGAAATATCCATTTGGGAGAAAACAGGATGCCAGATCCTTGGGACAAATGGAGCTAAAGCTGAGCTTTTAATGGCACTAATTGAGCATCAACTGGGTGCAGAATTTGGGCAAACTCTGTATTTTCCATATGGAAATATTGTGTGTAGCTGTAGTACAGTCATCCCTCCATATCCATAGGTTCCATATCTGCAACTCTAAGACCATCAGATTAAAAATACTAGAAAAAATTTGCCTCTACACTGAACCTACACAGACTTTTTTTCCTTAAACAATATAACAGAACAAGTATTTACATAGCATTTACGTTGTATTAAGAATTATAAATTGCAAGGTATGGTGATGCTTACCTGTAATCACAGCTATTCAAGAGACTGAGGCTGGAGAATGCTAAGTTCAAGGTCAGTCTGGGAAACTTAGAAAGACCCTATCTCAAAATAAAATTCAAAAACAGATGTGGGAATGTAGCTCAGCATTTACTGGTTTCAGTCCCTGGTACCAGAAAAAAATGTATAAGTGGTTGAGGGGTTATCTAAAGTATACATGAGGGTGTATATAGAGACTGCATCCATACTGTGCCATTTTATGTAAGAAATTTGAGCATCCATGGGTTTGGGATCTATGGAGTCCTAGGTCCAACCCCCTGGAGATACCTTGGGACAGCTGCATTTCACAATGCTTAGTGGCAGGGAAGAGGTCAATGGAACTGTACATTTTCAGAATAGATTTCTAGAGTTTCCAGGAGAAAATTGAGTGTGGAAAAAAATTATTTACTGATTAAAAAAAGCTAAGGTCTTAGGAGGATCAGGGCCATCTTCAGAGAGCTCAGCCTACAATTTTGTACCAATCTGCATTCTAAAAACTATTCTCTTGGTGCCATTAAGCTTTGTGAAATGTGGCTTCTATTTTGGCTTGTGTCTCTATGCATTCTTGTACCAGCAAATGTTAATTCATGGGCCCTGTAATTGCTTATGACTTTGGGAGTTTGTTTCCTTGGAGGGTATGTAGGTTCTTGCGGGAACCTTCTCCTTGTTCTTGAAGGGAGTAGGTGCCACCTCCAGATCACTACATGATATTTCTTCAGCTTTTCCAGTGCTTCTGACCAGATAGATCTCTGTGTTAAATTAGTGATCATGTGTTACAGAGGGTGAGGGGAAGAGAGGGGCAGTGAGTGGGCCAACATTTGGCTCCCTTGTAGAGTTAGGTCAGCACAGTCCTTCCCTTAAAGGCAGAGAACTCTTACAGCTCAAATACATGGCCCAAGCTCTGCTGGAAACATGTTTTCTAAAATTCCATGAAGAAATCAGAAACTGGTCCTGTGCTTCTGTTATGTATACAGCTTATACCCTAATGATCCTGTGCTCTTTACTCTAGTGAGACCAACCTGAAAGTGAAGCAGGCCCTCTCAGTTACCAATGACTTGGAAGACAACCTGGAGCTACTGTCTACTTTTGATGGTGAGTTAGGAAATAGAGTTGCCCACCCACACTTTCATCAGTAAAGGACTGGTTAGATAAAGTGTGATACATCCACACAGGAAGTTCTATACAATTTATTATAGAAATATACAAGTTGATATTTATTGACGTAGAAAATATTCATATATTAACAGGAAAAACAGATTGTAAGAGACTGCATAGCATATATAATAGAAACCTGTTTGGGAGTATGACTGAATGCATTATAGGGAAAAAATTTAAAGGTCATATTTTAAAAGGTTAATAGCACTTTTCTCCAGACAATGGGTAGATTTTATTTTATCTAGCATTTTAGCATTGCACAAATATTTATAGGGACATATTTACTTTATTAATCATGAAAAATTAAAATTATTTCCATTCTTTAAAAAATACATCTAGTATTTTAAAGCTTTAAGTAATTTCTTCAAATTCAGAGACTCACCAATCTGACAGTAGTAATGGTGATAAGTTACTGTGTAGGTTTTTCTCTCCCTGGATGATTCATGTCAGATATAGAATTATTCTTTCTTGATGCCAATAAACCTTTGTCTGATTTTCTGAAGAGAGGTTGGGAGATGGAGTCACTGGGAGAAGATAAGAAAAAGTGCAGTATTTTGAGAGAGAGGTTTTCTTTTTGTTTTCTGTTGAGCTTCCTTCCGTTCTATTAGGAAAATCTAAGATTACCAAGCCAGGACTCTTACTTCTTTACTTTCCTACAGGAGAGATAAAGTGTGACCTTCCCAATAACAAGTTGGACAGATTCACAGGCATCCTGACTTATAAAGGGCAGAAGTACTTACTCGACCATGACAAGCTGCTTCTCCGAGGCTGTATCCTCAGAAACACAGACTGGTGCTACGGCGTAGTGGTTTATACTGGTAGGTTTCCCTGCAGCCATATCCAGGCTCTGCCTGCTGGAGTCCACTCATGATCAATTCGGAGAGTGCCTCATTTTTAAGATATAGATACGTCACTTAGATACATAGATATAGATGATATGGATACAGATACAGATATGGACATACAGATACAGATATAGATGAATACTGATATGGACACTACAGCTTAGAGCTAGATACATAGGTGGATGGATGGATGGAGAAAAAACTTATTTCCTAGAAAAAAAAAGGACCTCTTTTTCCCAGGCAGTGCACTGCCAACATACTCTATGGCTTCATTAGAAGTCTTTGTGCTCCAAGACCACTGGGTATTCATGAGTCTTTCCAACCATATCTGGACACAGAAGGATACATATAAAGAAACAATAAGGGGATTAGGGTGTGAAATGTGAGATTATACTTGTGTATTACTCCCACAGGGAGAGAATAAAAATAATGCTTATTATGGACAATGATATAAAATATAAATAATTATATCAGAGAGAAGGTATCACATTAGTAGTGGTCTTTCTTCAGGTAATATATAGAATCACAATCCATAATACTTAGCAAGGGATTTTCCAGGGTTGTGTTCCACTTCCTTCATGGTGGCCAGAAACAAAAAGGGAAGAAAGGGTTAGGTCCCCATACAGATGTTCCCCATCAGGGACTATTAATGACTACCTGTTAATGACTGCTGAGACTTACAGCCCACCACTCAGATTTATCACCCATCTTTTTTTGGTATACTTTTTGTTTATGGAGCCTCAGTGTCTTGTTTGTGCAATATATTTTGTTTATACAGCACTGTAATTTTTACTAACATATAGATACAGTATACTATGTAGTTTCATATTCTGTTATACATTACAGGACTACATACAAAAGCCATACAAATAAAAACAAGGTCATAAAGTTGTCTTCTCTGACCATTTATTTGTTCTGAATATTCTACATATTATATACAATTTCTCACTAATGACCAATTCATTTAATACCTAGTTGTGGGACCATAACTTGATTGTTAAAGGGGGAGAGTCTGTAAACCCTTCAAAGACATGCCTCCAGTGACCCAACTTCCTCCATCTAGGTCACACCTCCTAAAGTTTCCAGCACCTCCCAATAGTGCCATCAGCTGGGATCTAACCCTTCCACACATGATCTTTTGGGGAACATTTAAGATCTGAACTATAACATAACAGTCACCCTAGTAGGAGGTGTCGAGCAGGATTTACCATAGAAAACACCATTTTTGAGTCCAAAAAAGCAGCTTCATGTTTATCTTCTTCTAGAGTGTCTACTCCTACACAGGCACTCCTGCCTTCTTAGCTCTATGGAAAATAAGGTGACTAAACCCCGGAAGATGCTTTTTAAGGATTTCAGCAGGTACGGTCCCTAAAGCGTCCAGTTTCTGAGCAAAACTTCTCATGACGTGAAGACCTTCACAAATGCTTCAGAGGAAAGAATGGTGTTTGCCTACATACCAGGAAGTTGTAAACACTGATGAAATTCATTCCTTAGAGCACACATAAAAGTAATAATCAGATGGTAAAAGACCAGAGAAATTGCTACTTACAGTTTCTTCAAACCTTCTTATGCTATCTTAATCTGCAACCATATCCCTAGTTAGTAATTTGCAACTCTAGTCCCAGTGGCAATTAAAAGCTTCTCAGTTCTAGTTATGGTCTTCCCTGTCATGACGAAACATGGGATCACTCAGTCCCAAAGAAGCCTTAGCTCTTCATCTTCTGCCTCAGGAAAAATCACTGTCACTGCGTCTGTCTTCTATTCCCAATTAGAAACTATATATAGATTGACCTGGCAGTGGGGTCCTTCCAAAGAAGGCAGAGATCTCTTTATCAGAGAATTCCTTCCCTGCCAAATAAACCAAATGGTGATGAGAGAAACTTGTGATTTCTGATTTAACTCATCTAGGAAACTCATCTTAGCTTTCCTTAAGGAAACTTAAGGAAAGCTAAGGCTGAGGAACTACAAAGCAAGGAGTCAGTATGAATACACTTTTGTAAGGACGGTGAAGACCACTCTTGGAAATATTTCCCTCTGGGTTATTAGCACCAGTGCAAGCTCTTCTCCAGGCCTTTAACTTAATTACTTACGAGGCCAGAATAGGTGAACATAAAGGTAACTTCAACCAATTTCAAGCCTCTGAGTATACTCAGGGATTCTAAGATTTGATGTCTCCTTGTTTTGCTTAGGGCCAGACACCAAATTAATGCAGAACAGTGGAAAAGCCATCTTTAAACGAACGCAAATGGACCAACTTTTGAACGTCCTTGTGCTCTGGGTAAGTTAAACTTTTCCCGTCCATTTCTTTACAAATAGAAATATCTCTTTCTACAGAAGTAGCTCCTATTTCCAACTTGGAATTTACTCATTGGTAATATTCAAGCTCTGTTTTCTTAGAGAAATCTTAGAGTCTGCTGCGAGGAGAATAAGGAAGGTCACAAGGGCTTTGTTCTGGCTCCCTCATCCAAAGTTCTTAAGTCCCAAAAATCAGCTTCATGTTTATGGTCTTACAAAATTTCAGTTGGAAACATAGGGACCCATCTGCTAAAAATGAAATTTGAAAAGTACTACAATATACAACATATAGTAACCTGCTTTGATAACAGAAATTTAAATTGAAGATTAGAAATAACTATGTCCATGCTATTTGATAGATGACTTTGTTCTTACCCCAACATTAATTTCTTCACTTAAACTTCTTTGCATTAAACTTTGCTTAAACTTCTAGGCCATTCCAGTGATGCCAACACTTAATTCCTTGACTTTTCACTTTTATTTTCATTCTATTGCGAGACTGAGACAATTAAAATGCTTTTTCTATCTATATACCTCTCATCAATATCTGAACTATAAACTGCCATTTCTCTTTTTACTTGCCATAACAAACATCAAAACTTCTTTTCAAAACCCTTTTTGAAGGTTATAAGATATTAGAAAATTAGAAAGACTCATTCAGCTTGAGACTAGCACTAAATATTCACCACCTTTATTTTTCTACTACTGAATGCATAGCTTTCAGCAGTTGAACAAAGTTCTATTCCCTGTTTCTTAAGGAAGAAAACTATCACAGTCAAGAATTCAGGAAGGAAAAAAAAAAGAATTCAGGAAGGAGCCAGACATGGTGGCACATGCCTCTAATCTCAGCACTCTGGGAGGTTAAAGCAAGAGAATCACAAGATCAAGCCCAGCCTGGGCAATTTAGTGATTGAGTCCTGTCTCAAAAATAAATAAGGTAGGGCTGGAGATTTAGCTCAGCAGCCTAAGCGCCTGCCCAGCAAGCACAAGGGCATGAATTTGATCCTCGGTACCCAAAACAAAAGCAAAAATGAAAACAAATGAGGTGAAGGGTAGGCTGAGTAATGAAGATTGCAACTTTGAGCCTACCATGGGTGAATTAGAGACTTAGAACTAAAGACCTTAGTGAGAACCAGACTTAACAAACTTCTGGGGATGAAGCTAAGTGCAAAACCCTGAGTACCACCTCACCCCCCCCCCCCCAAAAAAAAACAAGTATTCTAGGGAAAAAAAACCCAGGTAGAGTTATATGGTCTAGGCTTGTCTTCAAAACAAATGTCTCTTATTTGCGTACAAACATTCAACTATATGTGTATCTGTCAAAAGGTTAGTGACTGTAGTTGACATCTGTAGAGGGATTTTAACTTTCGGAATATATCACACCATTAATTACAGGCTTGCTACACTCAAGTGATAAGCAAGTCAAAAAGTATTTCTCCTCTTTTGACATAGCTGTAAATTGAGCTGTAAATTGAGGGATAAGTATCATTAAGTCCCACAAAAACATAACAGCAGCAATAGGTCTGTGACAACCAAGTCTATTTATCAAGAATCTGTTATGTGCCCAGCATGTTCCAAAAGTTGTGAGAATCATAAAGGTACGTAAGAAATGCATCTGGCCCTCAAGTATGTAAGTCCATGGTGAGCTTCAACACCAGTTTGTGCCAGCTGCTTTACATGCATCAATTTATCCCATCACATCTATCCATCTAGACATAACTTTTCAGCATCACAGCTAAAAGAAATTATGAAATTCAACAGGAGACCCTCAAGGCTCTCAGGTTGGGGGAGAAAGGTCGTACAGATGGGTCAGGAATCAGAAAGCATTTGGCCATCTCAGCACTCATGGCAGAAGTCACACATCAAGGCCTACAAAATGTGCCAGGAAATGATTTACGGCTCTAATTCTCAAACTAGTGAAACTATCCGTAAGTTAAATTGTCAAGAATATCCACGCATGCAAAGTCCAAAAAAGTTTACTCGTGAGTTATCCTTTCTTAGGAAGCTTCAAGAATATATATTGCAGCCGGGAGTTTAGTTCTGTGGTGTAAGTGCCTTCCTGGCAAGTGTGAGGTCATGAGCTTGATCCCCAGTACAAAAAAATAAAAAAGAATGTATACTGCAGCAAAACAAAAGCATAAACCAAGAAAGAAGTAGCCATACCAGCCAGGAAGTGTGGAGCAGGGCAGGAAGGCCTCTAGGTCACAGTGTTGCCAAACCCTTTAGAGCTTTTAGAGTTGTAATGGTGACAGCCTGCAGCGGCACACATGCCACAGGGTCACCACCACTGGGATGAGGGCTGAACTGCAGACCTAGGGAATGGCCAGTGCAGGCCACAGCGGGCGCTGTGCAGGCATCGGCAGACGGGTGTGGTTCACTACTCAGGCTGCTGGGTGAGGCAGCGCACAGCAGTAAATGCTGGGAAGGTACACAGCAGGGGAGAGGCTTCAGGAGCTTGCACTGGTGGAATTGCTCATGTAATCTCCGCTTCAGGCAGCATGGAGTGTGGTCTGGGGTAGTGTTCACTTTAGGATAGCTATTTGAAGAAGAACCTCCCAAAATGAGAGGCGGATTGATGCCCAATTTTTCACCAGCACCAGTGGGTTCTGGAAACCAGTAAGGTCATCATTCTGAAGTTCTTAGTGAGAATGATTTTGACCTAGAAATATGCGTAGGTAAACTACAAATCAGTTTAAGAGGATGAGCCTGTGTCTACCTTAGGACCTCACCCTTGCTGGCAGTGTCAGCACTCTAGTCTTCATGGCTTGAAATTGGAATGATGTCCAGAATCCTGGGTAACACATGGATGTGAAGGGCCAAAGGACCAAGAACCACTTTCTCTTTAAGCAGCTCTGTCATAAGATGGGTTTACTGTTTATCTTGAGCTTTATCAAAACCATTTTACTAAAAGGGAAGCTGTCTGCTCTTGTTGTGTCTGGCTCTAGTAATAAACAAGTAACCCCTGAAATTTGTAGCAATAACCAGATTTCTTGGGTTATTTTCTTCCTATAGAAAGGACACAAAGTGAAGCCTAGGCTTACTCCATCACAACAATAAAATACACAGAACTTCTTTAAGAGCTTAGAAGGCCTCGATGTGGCAGGCAAAGCTGTGGGAAGGGAAAAGAACAGTGTCCCCTGCCCCTGCCAGGCCAGGCTGAGGGAGGAGGTGGCTGCTGGGGCTTGTTCCTTTGGAGGTGGTCTTCCTTTCTGGAGGCTCAGTATGAGCAGATCAGGCTCTGGAGGACTCACCATTTAGCGGTGACGAAGGCACATCACAGAGACCTTGGCGAGTTGCAGTTATTCTGGCAACAGGAATAGAGCAGGGATGCTGAGTACAATGTCTCCATCACTTTGGGTGTTTCCGGTAGTTTAATCATTCTGCGCTCCTGTTTGCTCACTGGTACTGATGCAGAGAAGGCTGGAGCAGTGGTGTGTGCCGGAGCACGATATCAACTTAATACTGGCCGCCCGCATAGACTCTCCAAAGAGGGAGGCTGGGCCAGAGTGAGTCACCTTTGAGGTCTGATCTGACTACATGAGGGCTAGCCTCGCCTTCACGGGATTCACTGAAGAGAAGGAAGACAAAGTAGGGAGAAGAGCTGAGCCATGTGCCTGGTGTGAGTCTGGAGTAGCAAAAAACGAAAGCACATTTGACTTTTTCTCCAGTCTTCCTCGTTTCATTCTCCCAGACTCCTCACCCAGCTCCCGGACCTAATTTTAGATATTAATGTTAAGCATTGTTGTTAATTTTAAGTGATAAAGGTTCCCCTCCCCCAACTGCAGAGAAACTGGGAAATATACTCTTGCTGTGCGCCAAGGAAATGAAATACACGTACATACCATTGTCTCAGCCACAATCTACCCTTTCTACTTTTTTTCTTTCTTTCTTTCTTTCTTTCTTTCTTTCTTTCTTTCTTTTCTTTCTTTCTTTTGACAGGGTCTTGCTTTGTAGTGCAGGCTGAATTTGAACACACAATATAGCCCAAACTGGCCTTGAATTCATAGTGATCCTCCTGCCTCAGCCTCCTGAGTGCTAGAATTACAGGTGTGCACCACCATACATGGCTACTCCTTTTGATTATCATATTCCATTTCTTCCTACATGTATGACACCCTCACCATCTCCAGATCTCACCCAGTAACTGCATCCAGTGGAGGTTCTGGGGTCTCTTAGTCTTCTCCATCTAATTTAAATATGGTTTGTCTTGGTCTTGAGACAGGGGACATCTGGTTCTACCTGTGGGATATTTTTCTCCCTTCTTTTTGTTCTCTTTGGCCAATTCTGAAGATGATGTTTGGGAATCTGCTCTTCTTAGGGACTGCATTTTCACTACCTGCTACCCAGTGTTGCTTTTTTAAAAAGGCTTCCCAAAAAGTCACAAGCATTTAAAGACTGGGTTCATGATTCTTTAGCAGTATCATCTCTCCCAGGCTTCTCATCTGTTTGCTGCCAGTTAATTGCACATGCCAGGCACCAGCCCCTGACCCCCATCCATGTCCATACACACACGTACGCTGACAAAAATTCTTTCCTAGGTTAGTTCTGAAACTTGTCTTATTTCTGTGCTCCCTTACACTGCATGCCTACTTTCTCCACTCAATAGCAAGAAAGCTGAGACTAGGCTGGGGACTTAGCTCAGTGACTATCTGAAATAATAGTAATGGGTTAAAATATATTGACTTTAACCCAAATGTTGGCTCAGGCTAAGCATTTTGTTCAGTTGAAGAGAATCACTAGGCCTTGTTTTCCAAAGGTCCTAGTCTCTTCCCATTCATTGTCTAGCAGTTATAGTTCTTTGATGGCCTAAATTCCTTTACTCTGTTTCATTTGTCTTGCCTATCAGCCAGTTCTTTCTCATGTTCAACTCTTCCTTTTAAAATTTTGCCAAAGGCAGTTAGTAGTGACCAACATACTAACACTGATCCTTTCTGACCATGTCCTTAAGAGCTGCAGGCCTGATAGGCACATAGTCTACCTTCCAATTGATCAGATTAATGACATTTACATCCCTGCCTTCTTTCTGGCCTATTCCGTCACTCTTCCACCTACTCGCTAATTGCTAAACTAGTGGCACAAGGCTTAGATTTTCTAAAAAGTGGCACCTCACTTCCATAATAGAGTAACTAAGGGATATGCTTCAGAACCTGTTTCTCCCACTCAATGTTAGGTGATTTTAGTCAACATTTTTCTACTCTCAATATCAAGTTTCTCATTTGTTGTTAAAAGTATATTATAATAAATATTAAATAACTTATGTAAGATAATCAGCAGTTCCTAGTACTTAATTAGTACTTAGCATATTTTAGTCACTATTATCTCTCCTCAAAACCCAGAGGATGGCTCTGATTGAGCTTTCTCTTCTGTCCTGTGTCCTGTGTCCAGGGCCTGTGAACTACAGTTTCTGACCTCCTGTACTCCACAAAGACTTCTTGTGGAGCTCCAGAGGGTAGAACTGAAACACTATATACCTTAGGTGAAATATTAATTTAATTTATTTTTCTTTTGTTTTATATAGATTTTCCTGCTTTTAGCCATCATGTGTTTTATCATAGCAGTTGGTCATGGCATTTGGCAGAGCAAGATAGGCTACTATTTCCAGATTTTTCTGCCATGGGAAAACTATGTCTCTTCATCAGTTGTATCCGCCACACTCATTTACTGGTCCTACATCATTATTCTCAACACCATGGTGCCCATCTCCCTCTATATCAGGTAGGCTTCTCGGGTTGCGTTAGGCTATGGGAGAGGCTCACTTCACACTTCCTGCTTAATTCCTCAACTAGATTATGAACTTTAAAGAACCTTAAGATATGTGCTCTTTAATTCTTCACTTTTTAGAGGTGTAATATGCAAAACACTCTCAGAAATATCTAGAGATTGTATAAATGTCTTTCATTCCAAAGTACAGTACTAAATATTATGTACTTTATACAAAAAGAAAATTACACCTGCCCTGAAATAACCTGTGAGTGACTAAATAAGACATAGAAACATATGAAACAATTAGAAAAATTTGGTAATGCTAACACCAGATTAGGCAGGTGCTCCTTACCAGACAATGAGATAAACTCCACAAATTCATTCATAGTCAGAACTTGGAAAATATTTCACACAGAAGCAAGTGACCAGACAGATATGGCACAATATGAAAAATGGTGTAATTGGAATGATGAGTGCTAGAAGAGCCATGAGGAAGAACAAATTAGTTCCACCTGGAGAAGCTTAGGGAGGTTGCATAAAGGTAATAATCAAATTGAAAAAAGAGAATAGGGAAAGAACATTGCAAACAGAAAGTTCATTATGTACAGAGGTGTAGAGGTTTTTAAAAAGTTAGGCTAAGGAGTTGGATGGTAATTTGGGGTCAGATCTGGAAGATCCTTAAATTAAAGACCAAAGAGTTTGGATTTCATCCTTAAAGGCATAAAAAGCCAGTCAAGGCTTTTCTAAGGAAAAAAAGAATGTGACTAGATGTTCAGGTGGGGAGAGCCCATGATGGCGCCGGTATGGGAAAGGCTGGGGAGGGAAGTCAGTCTTCAAGACTGAGGACCATCAGTAGAAGACTTGAGCTCCTTTCCCTCAGGTCAGAGAAAAAATTCAGGCCTCTCAGTGTTGCTGTCTTAGAGAGGGATTATGAAGAAAGCAGCTTAACACACGTAAGTATGAGTGATGACAGAAAGGAGGTCCCTTAAAAGCCTTTACTATTTTAAAATGGAAGATGCCTGACGATAACAAATTGAGTATACTGGTTATAATGAATCCATAGTGCATGTAGTTCCAGCAGAAAAGGACTGTAACAGAGGCAAACTCATATGAGAAAGAGTCTGTGTTACCACAGGCCTGCCAGGAGGTTTCTCAGAGAGTGAGCCCGCAAACCACTTCTGAATGTCAGATCCCTGCCCTTTTCTGAAACAAACTCTTAAGTATGACAAGTGTCTCTGGCTCCCCTAAATGACAGCAGTAATAGTCTTTTAATTAGGCCAACATTTCCTCTTATAAGTTAAATACTACTCAACAGTTTTAAAAACTGTAACTTTTCCGGGATATGTTTTGGAAAGAAGAGTGAAGAGATTATGACATAGACAAGTTAATCAAGAATATTTGGACCCAGGTAGTAAGTCCTTTCATTTAGCTGGCTGGTGGGAAAGGCCCTTCAGAAAGGTAGGCCACCAGGGAAGATACTCTGATTTTCAGATGCTAGCCCTGAGCTACCACAGAGCTGGACCTGTAAAAAGGAAACCAACCTAACATTTTGTTTTTTGTTTTTTGTTTTGTTTTGTTTTGCCCTGCTCTGACTGAACCCTTCTTTTCTTTTCTTCTTAGTGTTGAAATAATAAGACTGGGCAATAGTTTCTACATCAACTGGGATCGGAAAATGTTCTATGCACCAAAGAACACCCCGGCACAGGCCCGCACTACCACTCTTAACGAGGAGCTTGGCCAGGTTAAATATGTGTTCTCTGACAAAACGGGGACCCTGACTCAGAACATCATGACCTTCAATAGGTGTTCCATCAATGGAAAGGTCTATGGTATGCATGTTTCCCTGCCTCCCTAAGCCCTGCAGAGTACCACTTCATGCATTGTTTTCCAGAATAAACTAAATCTTGATCCAGGCATGGTAGCACATGCCTTTAACCCCGCATTCAGGAGACTGAGGCAAAAGGATTTTGAGTTCCAGGGAGCCTGGATTACATAGAAAGCCAGTGTCTCAAGAAAAAAAAAATAACAAATTAGTTCTAAAATATAAACTTCTGAAATTCATAATTCTTTCATTTGTTATGGAAAGACCACTCATTTCTAACTAAAAAGTATTTATTTAGCATCCTATAGATGTAATCCATTGTGTTGGGCATTGAAAATACCAAGATGCTCAACACTTAATTTCTGTCCTCAAGGAGCTACTACTATTTTAAAGAAAAACAACACTCCCGGTCCATTCTCACATTAAATCAGAAGGGTATTGGCAAAAGGATACAAGGTTCAGTGAGACAGGAAAAGTAAGTTTTTGGATCTATTGTAGAATATGGTGATTATAGTTAATATAGTATATATTTCAAAATCACTAAAAGTAGATTTCAGCCAGGCATGGTGGCACATGCCTGTAATCCTAGCACTCAGGAGGCTGAGGCAAGAGGATCACTGCAAATTTGAGGCCACCCTGGACTTAAAGTGAGTTCAAGCCAGCCTGAACTGTGTAATGAAACATTGTCTCGAAAGTCAGTTTCACTCGTTCTTAGTGCTAAAAGTGAGAAATATGTGGTGATGGACATGTTAATTAGCTTGGTGTGATCATTCTACAGGGTATACATACAGGAACATCACATTGTGACCATAAATATGTATAATCATTGTCGATTAAAAATAAAAATAAAACATAGTATATTACTGTAGCTACTAGCCTCCTGATTCCCTTTAGACCAGTAAATAATATTGAAAGAAAATACACTAAGTAACAAAATGCAATATATTAACTAGTGTTCATTTCCTACTATTTTTTTTTTGAAATTTTGTATCACTTCTATCTTTTGTTTTGTTTTTAAAATTAAAAACCAAGAAGTCAAAATAAAATAAAATAAAAAGAAGCCCTCACAGGGTGATCAGTGTCTCTCAGGCCCAGTCCCTTGTTCATCTTATGGCTTCAGCATAGTCTTTATGCTAGCTTGAAATCCTCCTACATGTGAATATTCATGCCCAGCACTCCAGCCAGAAGAGGAAAGAGATCACATCAGAAAAGCCAGATCATGTGGGATATAATTCTGGGTGATGGAAAGTTTTGAAAGCAAAGAGAGATTGCAGTTAGACAACATTGCACCATGTACTATATGTCCTAAATTGTATACTTTAAAATAATTGATTAAAGACTGGGCATTTAGCTCAGCGGCATAAACGCCTGACTGGCAAGTATGAGATAGTGAGTTCAATCCCCAGTACCAAAAAAAAAAGTTGATTAAACCAAGTTTTGTGGAACATAACTGTAGTCCCAACAATCTGGAAGGCAGAGTCAAGATTGCAATTTCGAGCCCTGCCCAGCTTGAGAAATTTAACGATTTAGTGAGATCCTGTCTCAAAATTTAAATATGCGCTGAAGGGGAAGGATTTAGCTCAGTGGCACACCTGGCAAACCTGAGATCCTGAGTTTGATTTCCAGCACCCAAAAAAATGAACTGAAGATGTTGCTCAGTGCAAAGGGCCTGGGTTCAAAACCTACTACCATGAAATAAATAGATAGCTAATTAGGGCGAGTACACCCATGCAATCCTGGCACTAGAAGGCTAAGGCAGGAGGATTTCTAGTTCAGAGCCAGCCTTGACTCCATAGTGAGACCCTTGACTCAAAACAACAAAAACAAAATAATCATATATTATGCAAAGTTCACCTCAATTTTAAAAATTAAACCCTTTAAATTTAAAAAACAAGAGTAGAGCCCCCTAATTTTTCCTTATTACTCTTGCCAAACAAGTTTTTTGTGCATGTAAACTGTAGCAGGTTACTTTTGGGTGAATTGATTTGGATAAGGATTGTAATTCTCTGGCTCATTATAGACTTGATCATATATTAGGTAAAGCTAAAAGGGTGTTTCTGTACTTGGAATCAGAACTGTCTCCCCCCCACGCCCTGTTCTGTTTATCCCATGCGCTGGCCAAGAAGCCTAAGCACTCCGGACTCCTTTTACATGTAGCCTAGGTTACTTTTCTGACAGCGGGCCTTGCTGAGAGTCTGATAGATCTGGTGACTAACCTCCAGGGCTTCACCTCTGGCCTTACTTAACGGAAGAGCAGGAACCCAAGCAGATGACCTCTTCCTGTCACTGTCATGGAAAGCAGCTCACTGGGGGATTAAGGGTTGGATGGCCTGGGGAATGTGCGGCAGCTTGACTGCAAGTCTAGAATCAGAACAAATAAGCTTTAAAAACCTTCCTTTAAATTGCCATGTGATCTTTGGTGATGTCCCAAACTTGAAAAAAGAATTCAAACAAATGCATGCAGATACTCATTGTAGCATTATTTACATAGCCCAAAGGTTGTATAACCCATATGTCCATCCACAGATGAATGGATTTTTTAATGTGATATCTAAATACATTGGAGTGTTATTAAGCTATGAAAAGAAATAAAGTTTTGATTCATGCTACAATGTGGAAAAATCCTGAAAACACTGTTAAGTGAATAATCAGATACAATAAGATAATTATTGTGTTGTTCCAATTATATTAAATACTAGATTGGGAGGATTCATAGATACAAAGTAAAGTGGAGGTTGCTAGGTGGGTAGGAAGGAGGAGAACTGAGAAGTTTCCATTTGAATACCTAAAAAGTATTGAAACTGCATAGTCGTGATAGTCACAAACATTGTGAATATAATTAATACACTGAATTTTATACCGAACACAGATAAAATGGTATGGTAGGTTTTGTGTTATATATATTTTTCTTTTTTTCTCTTTTACCACAATAAAAAAAAAAATTAAGCGAGGCATGGTGACACACACTTACAATCCCTCACTCTGGAAGGCTAAGGCAGGAACATCAGAAGTTTGAGCCCAGCTTGGGTATTAGTGACTTAGTCAAACTCTGTCTCAAAATTTAAATTAAAAAAAGGCTGGGAATGTAGCTCAGTGCAAAGGTCCAGGGTTCAATCCTCAGTACCACTGGGTGGGGAGGAAAACCCTTCTGTAAACTTCTTACTAACCCTCTGCTCTGTTTTACTGGCCAATAGGCAATCCTGGTGACAAGGCTGGATCTAAAATGCCGAGCCCTAAGGTGAGAGTATAGCTTTCTGGAAAATACATGTGGGAGTCGAATCAGGTTGTGCTACAGAGAAGCATCTGTTACACAATTGGGACCCTAGCTCCTGAAATATTGATGCTCTTATTGGCCTCAAAATATCAGAAAGTGGGTGAAAGCAGGACTAGCTCAGTCTAGAGCTCTGGCCTGGCATACACAACACCCTGTGGAACATTATATGCATTTTGCTAAGAAAACTGCAGAGTAGACTGTCTGAGTTACTTTTCTCACTGCTGAGACAAATTACCCAACCAACACTCACAGTTAGAGGGGGAAAGTTTTATTTAGCTCACAGTTAGTAGAGGTTTCAGTCCGTAACAAGCTGGCTCCAAGGCCAGATCATGGCAGGCAGAATATAGTAAAGCAACAGGAGACCTTAACAGCATCTTTCTGTCCCTTTTAGATTGTATCTAGGCTCCCAGGATTAGGGTGGTGCCAAACCAATCAGTGGACTGATTTAGTAATCACACTCCCTTAATCCCAGCATTACACACTAGATCCAGCCATCTCTTAAAAGAACCCCACCTGTGACTGTGTGAGGTTTTGGGGGTGTCTAGACACAGCCATGACATAGGCCTTCAAATACCATGAGCCTTATAAAATATTAACTTTTCCTCTTTCACTCTTCATGTCCTTGTCATATCAATTCTTGCTCTCTGTTTTTCAAATCCATCTATTTTTCAAATATCTTAATCTTTGTTTTTGTTTTTGTTTTTGTGCTTTTGAGACAGTGTCTCACTATGCAGTTCAGACTAGCTTTGAGCTCACTTTGTAGCCCAGGCTGCTCTCAGACTTGCAAAGATCCTCCTCTGTCAGCCTCTGAAGTACAGAGGTTTCAGGCATGCGCCACCGTGCCTGGCCATCCTCTTAATCTTTGTTGTTACTACTTTATAATTTTTTGTGAATCACTGAAAAGAATTCTAACTGCTGTCCCACTTCTTCTCATACTGATGTGGGTATGTAAACAATAGGAATCCAAGCCACCTAATTGATAAATTTGGAATTCTATTAGCTGAGCTCAGCAACCACTTGCATAAACCAGTTTCAGAGTTCCACTGAGTGATACTGAACTGGAAAGTTACAGAGCTTTTAAAACAGAACTACAAAAAAGACGTTCTGTTGGAAACAATTTACCCAGAATTAATTTTGGTTGACACCTGTATCCTGCTTCTTTATTGAGCAGGTTAATTTCTTGTGGGTGCAGCTCATTCTGCTTTTCTCATGAGATTTTACTCTAAGTAATTTTTCATAAGATGGCACAAGATGGCATCAATTATGCCAAGCTACAACATTCCCCACTGATTTAGTACATGAATCAAATCTTTGATTCCTGGTTACCTTTCTTGTCTAAAAGTTACTTCCCTCACCTACATTTCACAAATCCTTTTATTGGGACCATATAACCATTAATTTCATATTAATGGACTTGGCTTTGGATATAATGCATTAAGCAATTTATCATGCAGGGGCCAATAGTCATGGCCAGCAGGAGGAAAACCAGGTGTCCTGCCAGAGCCGAGAGTAAGCCATGGGGTCAGCCATGGGGTAGTGGAGAACAAATTTTAAACCAGCTCTGTTGATAATGTCTCTCATTTTTCCTATCAGCTAGATGTCATCTGAACTGACTAAGAACATCCTTAATAACTCCTGAATGACTGGTGTAAAAACAACAAGATTCACCAAGGGCTAGGCATAGACCTCCATGTTTTAAGAATAGAAGGTCTAGACCTCGCCAGTTCTGAAGGACCATCTCAGCCAGGCAGTTCAGAGACTCCTCTAGGTGATGAACATTTTGTTCAAGTGCCCAGATCAGGGTCTATTTCTTCACTTAGTATCTGGTAATTTTGGTCTCCCACTATGAGGGCTGTGGTTCCTAGTGCTCTGGAACCAGCTATTCCTAATCCTAAAAGGACAGAAATTAGAACTGGAGCTCTTTTTCTTCTTGTGAGGTTGAGTAACCCCATATGCTCCCTACCTTCTTCTCTAGAATACCAGTACACTTGGGGAAGAACATGAGTTACAGAGTTCAGGGTTAGGTCCAGTGAAGACAGTCAGATGAGCATCAGGTGTAAGGCCATTTGTACAGGCAAACCAAGTTCCTGGAGGGGAGATTAAATGTTGGTTGAGGGGGTAAGAGACATTTTGTACATACACAATTGAATTACGATTGATTTGAAATGGGAAGTGCTTCAAAGGGAAATTTATAGACCAAATACAAAGTCCAGAGCCCTGAACTTTTCCCAAAGTGAGGGACTTTCCCAAAGCTGAGGCAAGGCCAGATCTCTGCCCCCACCAGCATGAAGAACTAGAATCAAGGTTCGAGATGTTTACAGTCTAGGTTCAATTGTTGGTCCCAACAGTAGTGTTTGCAGCAGGTCCCACTTAGTAGAGGGGTTTAGGATTTAAGCATAACCAACAGTCTTGGATAATGTTGGGGGATGAGGTATTAAGTAATTTAAACATAACTTCCAGAAATCAGAAGACAGGGCTCTCAGGTTGCAGTTGTGCTGGGGTCTGAAGAGATTCTTTGGGGACAGATGGGGAGAGAGAGAATTCATGGCAGAGGTAACCACTCTAGTGGGAAAACCCTTTGGTGGCAGGGTGAGCCCACCAAGGGGGCCTATAGATTTTAGATGAGTTGGAGTGTTCCTGGTCTTCTCTGGATAGTAAAGAGTGAAGCAGGGTCCCACCCAGGGACACAGAGGCAAATGCCCCAAATTTTTCCTCCATTCCAAGAAGAATCTCATAATTGCTTAGGCCAAAATAAAAAGTAGCCCTTATGAGAGTCATACTTAGCTGACAGATAGGGGTCACTGTTGGACCAGGGGGCTACGGTTTCACAACCCCAAGCAGTTTGGTGACAGTAATAATAGTGGTGCCGGTTTGACCCAGAACTAGGGAGCATCCATCCACTTTAGAGATCACCGGACACACATAGAAGAGGATATTTGGGTCTGACAAGAAAAACCCAGCCAATCCCGATGATCCAAATGCTCTGGCTGGGGGTATCCAGGCAGCCGGGGCAAGGCCAGTGCACTCAGGGTTATTTGTGACAGCCTACTCCATAATTGAACAGAGAGTTACATTAAGGAGGGGATTCCCAAGGCTTCTGATAGAGGCTAGGGTTACTCCATCTGAAGTTCTAGTCATAATCCACGTATAAGCTACAGGGTGATGGTTTTTCATGGGAATGGGCAGAATAAGAAAGATTAAACACATAAATAGACTTAGGATCCACATCTTTGGAGCTTGACCTTTAAAGAGTGAGAAAACTTTTTGATAGTCCACTTAGCTGGAGCCTTTGGTCCTGCAGGCTTGAAGTGGGAGTGATGAATCCAATGGCTCTTTCTGGCAACCTTGATGGCCGTGGGAATACTCAAAGGTCACTGTATAGGATCCTTCCCAGAGGGCACCTAGGGATGTGGGCTGTCTCTTTTTGATGTAGATTTGATCACCAGGTTGAGCTACTAGGGGTCATCAGGTCTTTCAGGAACGGTCTGGTGGCCCCAGAACAAGTGGTGGGTTGAATGCAGGAAGAGCTGGAGAGTCTGTAAGGACTTAACAGGTTCCCTATTAGTGACAGTAGCCAACTTATCATCTTGGACACAGAGAATCAAAGCGGGTAGTCAGATGTTCATAACCTCAAAAGGACTGATGTCCTGGAGGGTAGGGGGTACACTGCGCATGCAGAAGGGCAAAAGGAAGGAGACTTACCCAGTTTTCACCAGTCTCAAGAGCCAGTTTTTAAATAATTTCCTTTATGGTTCTGTCATTCTCTCTCCTTGGCCTGAACCTTGAGGCTGGTAGGCACAATGTAATTTCCAATTGATTTCTAAAGCTGCAGCTAAATTTTGAGTAATCTGAGCTGTGAAAGCTGGGCCATTGTTAGACCTCAGGGAGGTGAGCAAACCAAATCGAGAAACTATCTCATGGAGGAGTTTCTTAGCTACAATGAGAGCTGATTCAATCCAAGTGGCAAATGCTTTGGTCCACCCAGTGAATGCGTTTATGAGAAATAAGAGATATTTGTGCCCCCCCCTTCCTGGACCCATTTTGGCAAAGTCTATCAGTGGTCTCCAGGGGTAAGTCCTCATTGTCTCTTTCAAACATCAGTGGGAGCCAGTTTAGGGTTCACCTAAAGGCATTGTGGGCATTTTTGGCTGACCTCTTTAGTCAGGTGAGATAATTTAGGGAGGAAGTAATGTCTTGGAATAACTCGGGTAATTTGGTTTCTCCTGAGTGGGTGTCCTGATGAGTCTCCTGAATGAGCTGGGGACCCAACAATTCTGAGATGAGAAATCACCCATCTGGTAAGGTCTACCAGCCTTCTAGAGACAGTTGGACCTTTAAGCTCTTGGCTAGTCTCAAGTCTGAATCAGAATAAGATGGCTTGGGTAGCGTGGGTGGCAGGAGAACTGGGAGGAGCATTATAGGCCCCACTGCTTTTCATGCCACCTCTTTGGCTCTCTTATCAGCAAGGGCATTTTCACAAGCTATTGTGGTGTCTTCTCGTTGGTGCCCCAAACAGTGCATAATTGCAACATTTCAGGGCAACCAAATGGCAGCCAGGAGGTCTAAGATCTCAGGGTCATTCTTGATCTTTGTTCCTGCTGATGTTAAAAGTTCTCTTTCCTGGTAAATGGCCCCATGAACATGGGTGGTGGCAAAAGCATACTGACTATCTGTATATATATTTATAGATTTATTTTTCCCCATCTTAGGGCTTAGGTAAGGGCTATCAGTTATGCTCACTGAGCTGTAGTTCCCATCCCTAGAGCTGGGGCCCATATTACCTCAGTTTCAGTGGTCACTGCAGCTCCTGCCACTTGAGTACCTTGGTGGAGGTAACTGTTACCATCTGTGAAAAGAATGGCTTCAGGCTTGGAAAGCAGGACATCAGTCAGGTCAGCTTGCAGGCTTGAGACCAAGTCAATAATATCCATACAATTATGTATCAGCATGGAGCTGTCATCACC